GACGAGACTGCCGTAATGCTTCCCAACTGTATCAAGCAGTTCCTTTCTAAGATTGGTCCAATAGAGATAAGGGAAAGTGTCATAGCCTAGGGCTGTTTTTCACTTACGCAATGGAGACCTTGAGTTTTTCTTTCCTTTCCAAAAACTTCGGTTATAGCGGTTCTATGTTCAACGTCGGAATTATAAGCGATCAAAACTTAAGACCCTGAACCAAACTTCTTGTTGGCTGAACCTTCTTTCTCAAGTTGCCGCAGACGCAGGAGACCTCTAGTTCTTTCTTTCCTTTCAAAACCTTCGGTTTCGCCGTTCTTTGTCCCAAGTTCACAATTCAAATCCTTATGAATCAAAGTTCCCACACCCGGCTTCGTTGCATCTGGGATTTTGTAAGTGGAAAAAAAAACTTAAAACCCTGGACCAAACTTGCTCGCTGATCTCTTTCTTTCTCAAATTGCTATAGAGATCGGAGATGCGGTTCGAAACAACACACCAAACATTGGATCAATTGGGTGAGAACAGTTGGGAAAATACCGCAAACTGTTATGAACAAAAAAGATACAAGAGTAACACAAGACGCGAGATGTCGGCGATGAATGACGGCTTGATTAATTTGCAAAATGAATCCCTCTTGCATTGAAAGAGGCCAACAATCTCAAGAAATCGTCCTGCGAGAGCTTCGAGGATCGCTTGTCCTCAAAGCTCCCTTCTCTGAGCACTGCCAGGCCCATTTCTTTGTACTTGTTGACAGGCCCTTTGGTCACCTCGTCACCATCGTCATCCATATCCATATCGCCGCCGTCCATATCCACGTCCATGCCCTGACCACCACCTCCCTCCTCTGCGTCACCCCCGCCCCGCCCTGAACCTGCATCTGCCATCATCGACAAGTCGGTGGCGCCATTGTCGGTACTTGCGCTACTACCCAGCGCCCCTTGCAGCGCCTGATACGTCTTATAGTTCTTCTCAACAAGTGCTACTACATTCTTCTGTCTAAAGATTGCACCAAGTGTTTTATTTTTCCGGCTAAAGCAAAGCCGAACCAGCCCATCCCATTCTTTAAAATTAACAGGCGGCAACGGGTTCCTCGGCTCAATCCGCACAACACTGGAATCCACCTTCGGCGGAGGACGGAAATTGTTCTTCCCCACCTGCAAACACAGCACATTCGAACGGCTCTTCTGAGTTAGTGATCCTCTTCTTCTGAGACAACAGGCAAGCAATTCACTTCTGAGACAACAAGCAAGCAATTCAAAAAGACCCGCCACCCTTCACGATAGAAGTTACTCGTTTTTTAACGCTTTCTCCCCTAAACCAAAAAGGCTCAGCGAGGTCAGTCGCTTCAGTACGGCTTCGTCGTCGTTACTTTTCCACGGACAAGGCGCTACCACGACGCGACTTTCTTTGTTCCAATCGGAATACTGAGATTGGAGATCCGCAGATTGGTCATAAAAAAACTGGTTTCTTTCGGCTCGCTAGACTCAGAGAGAGAGAGAGAGAGAGAGAGAGAGAGAGAGAGAGAGAGAGAGAGAGAGAGAGAGAGAGAGAGAGAGAGAGAGAGAGAACGCAGTCGTATAACATCATGGGTGCAGATACCCAGAGCAAACGACAGGCTTGCATCAGTGTGTTTTTTTACCCCCCTTTATACTTTCCAACTACCCTATTCACCCGAATATCACGCCCGGTCATTGCAGCCGTCACTCAGGGGTGAACTGATGCTAGCTCAGCTTTTGCGGTGAGATGCCGCGCTGGCATGTATAAAAGGTGCAAACAAGCAGAAGGGAAGACGAAGCGACAGCCAGACAGGGAACACAACCCAGATCATGAGGGTACAATAGAATTTGAGGGAGCCAAGGAGACAGCATACATGTCCGCATGGTTAAACCACCAGTACATGGCCCCAGGCAACTGGAGAACCTGTTTTGAGCCTCCGAAAATTTAGGAGGCCGAGCGCCGTAGATAAAATGAATCGATGGCGTGCGGTCTCCGAAAGGGGCCCGCAGCCGATAGCTGGCATGTACTGGTGCTTTAAGAGAAAAAGGATTACCTTCAGTAAATGGTCAACGCGCGAGAGCAGTTGCGCATTTGCAGAGAGTCTGCAGTACAAAGAATCCCCCGGCTTCGCGACTAGTCGCATCGCAAACTCGCGCTGAAACATGATGATCGCACATCTGAAAATCGGACGATGTGAAAGTAGCTTGAAGGTTATTGGCGAGGATATCTGATACGGAATGTTTGCGACACATATGTCGAAATACGGCAGTTCAGTCTTCAGAATGTCACCCTGGATAACCTGTGCACATGAGCCACAGAAACAGAAGACTCAAAACCAAGCATATGGCAAAGGACATTTGAACTCTCGATCTCCAAAGAAAAACACTGTCACAGAGAACGAGAATCGAGAATAGTTAAGAACCAGCGCAGGAACGCTGGCAGGCCGCTTCAAAATTGCACTGCCGAGCTCAGCAACAAACTAAAGAATACAGGTGGAGGAGGAGGAGGAGGAGGACGAGGAGGAGGACCCTGGCTGCATGGCTGAATGGTACACACATATGCATGTGGATATAAGCAGCTCACAAGTTTGAGTCCTGCTACGTTCAATACCGTTAGGGTCATCCGTTAAAAAAAAAAAAAAAAAAAAAAAAAAAAACAAACAAACAAACAAACAAACAAACAAACAAACAAACAAACAAACAAACAACCAAAAAAAAAAAAAAACAGGAGAATACAGGAGAAAAAACTACCAAGAAGTAAAACAGAAAACCATGGCTTTGCCTATCGCAAATGTCCTTTCCGTGCTTTACCCCAGCTCTATGACCAGAAACCGATGCACAAAAAAAAAAAAAAAAAAAAAAAAAGAAAGTGTACATGTGTTCCTGTGTCAATTTGGCAAAACACAACAACCCCACAGAAAACGAGCACGTGACAGAAGAAAGCTCCACTGCAGTTAAATACTGTCCCCAACTCTTTTTTTGTTTCCTTTTCTGTCCTTTCTTTTTGTTTCCCCTTTTTATAATGCAAGTCACTCTTTTTTTGTTTTCTTTTTTTTCCTTTTTTTTATTTCCTTTTTTTTAATTCAAGTCCAGGGTGTTTGTTTTCTTTTCTTTCCTTTGCCGAGCACACGATGAAACTTCGAAAAGCCTGAAACTGAGATTTTCTGCTCTGCTCCGTACTACGTCCTCTGACTATACTGTTCCCAACATTTGTGCGCAAAAAGTACTTTGCCAGGGACATTGTGTACCGTCATTCCACCCCGAAAGTAATTAATGGTAGTTTCGTCTCATTTGTCTTTTGCCATGTTTGTCTTTCAAGATTCGATTGAACAGTTCTGTTTTTTTTCTCTTTTCCATTTTTGCCCTCTTAGCTTCCATTTCCCGTTTCCTTCATCTCGCCTTTGTCGTCTTTGTTGTCTTTCCTCCGGATTTACGGGTCTCCTCTTTCAGCTGCTATTTTTTGCACTTTGTCTGTGTCCATTCTGGGTGCTGTAACATAACAGCAGCACAGGTCTGCTGACTCTGCTCTTTCATTTGGACACCTATCCACAGTGGTCACAGTTGGTAAAATATTGAATCGCGATTCGTTCTTTGTCGTCTTTCCTCCCGATTTACGCACCAGGCGATAAGATTGCCTTGGGCACTTCAATCTAGTACCTACTCTGAGAACCAAAGGTCAGTCTTCCAGATGCTATTATTCGCACTTTGTCTGTGTCCATTCTGGGTGCTGTAACATAACAGCAGCACAGGTCTCCTCTTTCATTTGGACACCTATCAACCATGGTCACCGTTGGCAAAATATTGAATCGCGAGTCGTTCGCCGTAAATGACCTGTGTGATTCCTGAGACGACACCCTGCTCCATATAATACAGTAGTTTGAAGAGATAAACGGTGATAACAGAACACCCCCCCCCCCCCAATCCCTGCCCCCCCCCCCCAAACTTTCCATGCCTCCTCCGTCATGCATTACATGGCCGAAGCAAAGGACTGACCTGCAGATGCGATGCATGAGAACTGCCCTGCACTCGTCGCTGGAGTTCAAACACCATTCGTGGATCAACTTCCACTGCAATCACTTTCTTTGCTACCTGGAGGAGCTTAACAGTCAGATTTCCTGAAAAGGACAGAGGAACAAACACAACTTTAATCAGAGTCACAGATCAGCATTTACAAAAAGAGAGACACAGAGAGAGAGAGAGAGAAAGAGGGAGAGAGACAGAGACAGAGAGACAAGGAGAGAGACAGAGAGAGAGAAGCAGAGACAGGAAAGAGGAACAAACACAAGTTTAATCAGAGTCACAGATCAGCATTTACAAAGAGAGAGAGAGAGAGAGAGAGAGAGAGAGAAGCAGAGAAGACAGCAAATGGCATGAGCGAAAGCATTAACTTTATCGACGCATGCTTTTTCAAACTGGAATACAAACCCGAGTCAAGCTTAGTCTGGCTACCTTTGGTGGGCACAAGAGCAGGCAGGAGGGGGCGGAGGTAGCAAAACAAGGCACGTTGTATTCGAGTTTGAAAAAGCACCCGGGAGGGGGCAGAGGTAGCAAGACTAGGCGTGCGTTTTTTTCATAGCTTGAAAAGCGCACAGGGAGGGAGGCGAGGTAGGTACTAGCCAGACAAGGCAGGCGCTCGTAGAGATGGTAAAGAATAGCAAGAAGGGAAGGCAGTGGGGGACTTACGGCCAACAAAGCTCCAGAGAGAGTACAAAGGAGGCAGGGCGGGGGGAGGAAGGGGGGGGCAAAGTTGGGAGGGTGACAAGAGAATGCAGGAGAAGGGCGTAGGAACCCTCTTCCCCCGAATAGAATACACGTTCATTACGGCTGGAGTTGGTGCAACTTTCCGTCTAGATACAGTGATTATGATCGTACGTCCTATTCGGGCGGAAGACGGGAGCAAGCAGAGGTCAACCGATGAGAGAGAGGCCACAAGAGGAGGGAAGGGCGATGGTAGCCATGGAGCAGATTCGAAGGCAAAAACGAACCCACACACAAACGGAGGAGAAAACGGACAACATAAACGGGGGACACAAACGGAGAACACTACAAACAGAGGACAAAAGGGAGGATAAAAAAAGGAGGATATAACGATAATAGACAAGCAGCAACAAGTTCAAATACAATGGCCCCAAAATAAAGTCCAGTCCAATACAATTACAGGTAGGACAAACGAGTGTAAGAGGGGTACCCACATATGCCAAACGGGTGTGTCTAAGAGGGGTCGTAAGCCACCCCCCCACCCACCTGTTCCCGGTCCAATTTCCAAAACCACATCAGTGCTCTTGATCCCCGCTTTCTGAACGATCGAGTCCACAATGAGCGGGTTCTTGAGGATATGCTGCCCTTTGCTCTTCAGAAACTCCATGCCTTGAATGGGGTACTGACTTCCGCCCCCGGCCCGCTTGGCCTTCCTCACAGGCCCACCCGCCATCGCTCGCCGCAGGGAGAAGCTCCACAATGACAGGGAAGGAGAAGATGGGCAAACCTCTCTGTGTTTTTTGGGTACGTAGGATGACCCTTGAAACCCCGAAAAGCCCCCCGGCGTTTTACTAGGGCCACGGCAGCCGAAAAAGGCCAAACTTGACAGCCACCTCAGAAGCGGTCTCTTCGCGGACTCCGTGTTGTCTAATTGGTCCCCTTGGACATGTACTCTTTGCTTCTCAAGGTCGAGAATAGGTTGGAGAACAGATTCGGAAGCAGAACTGGGGCCGTCTTCACGCGAATATAACGCCCGTCCATTATAGCTGTATATGGGGCATTTTTCAGTCCAGATGCGACGATAATGACCGGGCGTTCTATTCGGGGGTGAAAACGGTACTTGGCAAAAGCAGCTTGTGAGAGCTGCAGCACGTCACTCGTGAGCTCGCAGTAGCTTCGGTGGTAGCTTCGGCAGCTTCAGGTGCCACAGGGGCGTTCTATTCGGGTTTGAGCTCTCACAGCCTGGTCACGGCTTAGGATGATCAGCTTCGGAGATCGTGATAGCTTCCGCAAAGCCTCGCCTACGTCCGAGCTATACACTATATTTGCAGCCACCGCCCCCCCTTCTCTCTCTCTCTCTCTCTCTCTCTCTCTCTCTCTCTCTCTCTCTCTCTCTCTCTCTCTCTCTCTCTCTCTCTCTCTCTCTCTCTC